GGGGTTCCTGGGTGGGTATTTGGGGTGTCCTGGGGCTATTTTGGGGTCCCAAGGCTATTTTGGGGTGTCCCGGGTGTGTTTTGGGGTGTCTCGAGGTGTATTTGGGATTTCTGGGTGTGTATTTGGGGTGTCCCGGGTGTGTTTTGGAGTTCCTGGGGGTGTCCCAGGTGTATTTTGGGGTGTCCTGGGGCTATTTTGGGGTCCCAAGGCTATTTTGGGGTGTCCCGGGTGTGTTTTGGGGTGTCTCGAGGTGTATTTGGGATTTCTGGGTGTGTATTTGGGGTGTCCCGGGTGTGTTTTGGAGTTCCTGGGGGTGTCCCAGGTGTATTTTGGGGTGTCCCGGGTGTATTTTGGGGTGTCCCGGGGCTATTTTGGGGTCCCCGACCCTCTGCCCCCCCAGATCCTGGTGAACGGCACCTTCTACGAGGAGTTCCCGCACCGGCTGCCCCCGGAGCAGGTGACGGCCGTCAACGTGGACGGGGACCTGGAGCTGCACTCGGCCTCGGTGCTGGGGGGCACGGTGAGACCCCAAAAACAGCCTGCACCCCAAAAACGGCACCCTAAAATCACCCTGAACCCCAAAAGTGGCACCCTAAAATCACCCTGAACCCCAAAAGTGGCACCCTAAAATCACCCTGAACCCCAAAAGTGGCACCCTAAAATCACCCTGAACCCCAAAAGTGGCACCCTAAAATCACCCTGAACCCCAAAAGTGAGCTGCACTCGGCCTCGGTGCTGGGGGGCACGGTGAGACCCCAAAAACAGCCTGCACCCCAAAAACGGCACCCTAAAATCACCCTGAACCCCAAAAGTGGCACCCTAAAATCACCCTGAACCCCAAAAAATCCACCCCAAAACCAGCCCTGTGACCCAAAACCGCCCCCAAAACCAGCCCTGTGACCCTAAAAGTGCCCCCCCAAACGCACCTGGAGCTGCACTCGGCCTCGGTGCTGGGGGGCACGGTGAGACCCCGAAAACAGCCCGAACCCCAAAAACGGCACCCTAAAATCACCCTGAACCCTGAAAAATCCACCTCAAAAACAACCCCAAACCCAAAAACGGCCCCTAAAAACCACCCCAAAACTGCCCCAAACGCAGCTGGAGCCCCCCTCACCTGGAGCTGCACTCCGCCTCGGTGCTGGGGGGCACGGTGAGACCCCAAAACAGCCTGCACCCCAAAAACGGCACCCTAAAATCACCCTGAACCCCGAAAAATCCACCTCAAAAACAACCCCAAACCCAAAAACCGCCCCTAAAACCACCCCAAAACTGCTCCAAACACAGCTGGTACTTTCCTTACCTGGAGCTGCACTCGGCCTCGGTGCTGGGGGGCACGGTGAGACCCCAAAAACAGCCTGCACCCCAAAAGCGGCACCCTAAAATCACCCTGAACCCCGAAAAATCCACCGCAAAACCGGCTTTGTGCCCCAAAACCGCCCCTAAAACCGGCCCTGTGCCCCCAAAACGCACCTGGGACTTTCCTCACCTGGAGCTGCACTCGGCCTCGGTGCTGGGGGGCACGGTGAGACCCCAAAAACAGCCTGCACCCCAAAAACGGCACCCTAAAATCACCCTGCACCCCAAAAACGGCACCCTAAAATCACTCTGAACCCCAAAAAAATCCACCCCAAAACCAGCCCTGTGCCCCAAAACCAACCCCAGACCCCAAAATTCCATCCCCGGACCCCAATCTCCACTTCTGGACCCCAAACTCCATCCCTGGACCCCAAAATTCCAGTCCCGGACCTCAAAATTCCATCCCTGCACCCCAAAATTCCACTCCAGACCTCAAACCCCACCCCTGGACCCCAAAATTGCACCCTCAGACCTGAAAATTCCATCCCTGTCTCAGGGGATTTTGAGAGGGTCAGGGGGATTTTGGGGGGCTCTGAGGGTGGGCTTTGGGTTCCTGGGGGGCTCGGGGGCAGTTGTTGGGATTTGGGGGGGGTCCTGGGGGATTTCTGCCCCCTCTAAGCCCCCCATTTGTGCCCCCCCAGCCCGTCCCCTTCATCGCCACCATCCCGGGGGGGCTGGTCCCCAAAAAAACCGTCATCATCAAGGGCTTTGTCCCCCACCACGCCAACAGGTACCGGGGACCCCCGAAGACCCCTGCCCCGAACACCCCAAAATCCCCACCTCAAACACCCCAAATCCCCAGCAAACCCCATGAAATCCTCACAAACACCCCAAACTCCCCACCTCAAACCCCCCCAAATTTTGGGGTCCTCTGTGGGTCTCTGGGGTGATTTTGGGGGTGTCTGGGGTGACTTTGGGGTACTCTGTGGGTCTCTGGGGTGATTTTGGGGGTCTCTGGGGCGAATTTGGGGGCCTCTGGGGTGAGTTTGGGGGTTTCTGGGGGTCTCTGGGGTGATTTTGAGGGTCCTTGGGGTGACTCCGTGGGTTTCTGGGGTGATTTGGGGTGTCTCTGGGGCGAGTTTGGGGATCTCTGGGGTGATTCTGGGGGTCTCTGGGGTGAGTTTGGGGGTTTCTGGGGGTCTCTGGGGTGATTTTGAGGGTCCTTGGGGTGACTCCGTGGGTTTCTGGGGTGATTTGGGGTGTCTCTGGGGCGAGTTTGGGGATCTCTGGGGTGATTCTGGGGGTCTCTGGGGTGAGTTTGGGGGTCTCTGATGTGATTCTGGGGGTTTCTGGAGGGTCTCTGTGGTGATTTTGGGGTTTCTGGGGGTCTCTGGGGTGAGTTTGGGGGTCTCTGATGTGATTCTGGGGGTTTCTGGAGGGTCTCTGGGGTGATTTTTGGGGTCTCTGGGGTGATTTTGGGGGTCTCTGGGGTGATTTTGGGGCTCTCTGAGGTGACACCCCCACCCCGTTGTCCCTCCAGCTGTCGATCCGCTGCGGGAACCATCGCTTCAAGGTGTTCGTCGAGGGGCAGCGGCTCTTCGATTTCCACCACCGGGTGCCAGCCGGGCCCCACGTGGACGTGCTGGAGATCGAGGGCGATGTCGTCCTGTCCTATGTCCATTTCTGACCCACGAGTGTCCTGTCTCTGTCCCATAATTGCCCTGTAATTGCCCCCCATAACTGCCCCATAATTGTCCCATAACTGGCCCTCAGCTGCCCTCTCCCAACACCGACCTCAATAATAAAGCTGTTCCTGCTCCAGTTCGGGAAACTTGAGGGGAAAATGGGTGGGGAAGGTGAGGGGAAAAGGGAGGAAAATGTGAGGGGAGAAGAGAGCAAAATGTGAGGGGAGAATGGAGAGAAATGTGAGGGGAGAAGAAATGTGAGGGGGAAAAGGGTGGGAATCATGAGGGGAAAAAGGGCAGGAAATGTGAGGGGGAAAAGGGGGGGGAAATGTGAGGGGAGAAGAGAGAGAAATGTGAGGGGGGAAAGGGTGGGAATTGTGAGGGGAGAAGAGAGAAATGTGAGGGGGAAAGAGAGAAACATGAGGGGAGAAGAGAAAGAAATGTGAGGGGGAAAAGGGCGGGAATCATGAGGGGAGAAAAGGGCGGGAATCATGAGGGGAGAAAAGGGCGGGAATCGTGAGGGGAGAAAAGGGCGGGAATTGTGAGGGGAGAAAAGAGCAGGAATTGTGAGGGGAGAAAAGGGCGGGAATTGTGAAAAGGAGGAGAGAAATATGAGGAGAAAAAGGGCGGGAATTGTGAGGGGAGAAGAGAGAGAAATGTGAGGGGGAAAAAGGGCGGGAATTGTGAGGGGAGAAAAGGGTGGGAATCGTGAAAAGGAGGAAAGAAATGTGAGGAGAAAAAGGGCAGGAATTGTGAGGGGAGAATGGAGAGAAATGTGAGGGGAAAATGGCAGGAAATGTGAGGGGGAAAAAGGGCGGGAATTGTGACAGAAGAAAAGCGTGGGAATTGTGAGGGGAGAAGAGAGAGAAATGTGAGGGGAAAAGTGGGGAAAATGTGAGGCGAGAAGAGAGAGAAATATGAAGGGAGAAAAAGGCGGGAATCGTGAGGGGAAAAGAGAGAACTGTGAGGGGAAAAGGGAGGGAAATGTGAAGGGGGGAAAGGGTGGGAATCATGAGGGGAGAAAAGGGTGGGAATTGTGAGGGGAAAAAGGGCAGGAATCGTGAAAAGGAGAGAAATGTGAGGAGAAAAAGGGTGGGAATTGTGAGGGGAGGAGAGCGAGAAGTGTGAGGGGAAAAGGGGGGAAAAATGTGAGGGGAAAAGGGGGGAAATGTGAGGGGAACAAAGAGGGAAATGTGAGAGGAAAAGGGGGAAAACGTGGGGGAGAAGGAGGGAAATGTGAGGAGGAAAAGGGCATGAAATGTGAAGGGAAAAGGGGGAAATGTGGGGGGAAAAGAGAGAAAAACGTGAGGGGGAAAAGGGCAGGAAATGTGAGGGAAACAAAGAGGGAAATGTGAGGGGAAAAGAGCATGAGAAAACACAGAAAATGTGAAGGAAAAAAGAAAAGAAGTGAGGGGAAAAGGGTAGGAAAGGGGAGAGAAAAAAGGATGGTGAATATGGGGAAAAACCACCCATACAATCTAGGCACCCTGCACTCACATTTTACCCCAAAAATATTCTTTCCATCACTTATAGACACCTCAGGTTTTACCCCCACAATTGTCCTGACTTGTCCAAAAGAAACCAACACCTCAATTTTACCCCCAAAACGTCCCTTCCCAACCTCATTTTTACCTCAAAATGGTAATTTTCTCCCCTCAAGATAACCTTGTTGGCTATACTTGGGGGAAAAAGTGAGGAAAAACTCCAAGATGTCAGAGGTTGTTTTTTTTTTTCTCAGCAATATTTTAATTACAGGACAAAGAAGCTGCTACGTGAATATATATTTATATAATAAATCCGTAAAGTTATAAAGGAAACCGGAATTTTCTGCTTCCCGTCAAAATTTTCCAGGATCAGGCGCTTTATTAGGTGGATTTCTCATAATTTTCCTTCTTGTTTCTCTTAATTTTTTATGTGTTTTCCACAGTTCTCTTTATTTCTCTCTTTATTTTTCTCCTTACTCTTTATTTATCATTATTTTCCCATATTTTTACGTATTCCTCCAGATTTCTCCGTGATTTTCCTCATTCCTCTCCTAATTTTTCCACATTTTTAATTTCTCCTTATTTTTGTTCCCTAATTTTCCATCTCTCCACACATTTTTCTCCACATTTTTCCTCCTAATTTTTTTGCCTCATTCCTCGCCTTTCTCCCCTATTCCCCCCTATTTCCCCCCATTTTTTTTGGTCCACAAAACGCTGCTCCGAGGTGGGAATGTGAGTGAAAAAAAACCTAAAAAACCCCCCCAAAACCCCGGATTTTTTTTTTCCCCTCTGGAAAAAAAAAAGCCATAAATTACGTGAGAAGGGGGGGAACCGTGAGGGGAGAGGGAACCCTCGGGCTGCGCCGCTGATCCCGTGGAAAACAGTGGGAATTTCTCTCTCTCTCTCTGTGTCTCGTTACCAAAAATAACCATTTCCGGGCGCTGCCAGGCCCGCGGCAGGCGGAGCCCGAGGAAAAGTGGGAATCACATCCCGAAATATCCCAAGATCAATCAACTGTTGCATAGTAGGAGGCGGGGGGGTCGGGGGTCCGGGATCCCGGGGGACCCTCGGGGATCCAGGACCACCAGGGATCCTCAGAGATCCGGGATCCTGGGGGACCCTGAGAGACCCTCGGGGATCCTCAGGGACCCTAGGGGATCCGGGACCGTTGGGGATCCAGGATCCTGGAGGACCTTTGGGGATCCCAGGGGATTTGAGACCCTCGGGGATCCTGGGGGGTCCTTGGAGGTGCTCAGGGATCCTCAGGGATCCTGGGGGACCCTCATGGATCTGGGACCACTGGGGGACCCAGGACCCTCGAGGATCCTGGGGGACCCTTGGGGATCCAGGACCGTCAGGGACTGTCGGGGTCCAGGATCCTCAGGGATCCCGAGGGATCCTTGGAGGTGCTCAGGGATCCCAGGGGGCCCTGGAGGATCCCGGGGGGCCCCGGGGAGGCGCTCAGGGATCCCAAGGGATCCTGAGGGGCCCTTGGATGTGCTCAGGGATCCCGGGGGGCCCCGGGGAGGCGCTCAGGGACCCTGGGGGATCCTCAGGGATCCCGGGGAGGCGCTCAGGGATCCCGGGGGGCCCTGGGGGATCCCGGGGAGGCGCTCAGAGGTCGCTCTCGCCGTAGAGCGCCGTGGAGAAGGATTTGTAGTCCAGCGCGCCGGGGACGCCGTCGGGGCCGGGGTAGGGCGCCATGCGGGCGATGCAGTACTCGGCCTGCGCCGCCGGCAGCTCCCGCCGCAGCTCGGCCGCCGTGATGTAGTTCTGGGGGACGAGGGGAGGGGAAACGGGGGGAAAACGGGGGGAAATTGGGGTTAACCGAGCCCCAGTGTCAGCGATCCCACCGGGGGATTGATGGACTTTGAGAAAGTGGTCCCCAAATCCCACCTTGGTCTTATTCCCCAAATTCCACCCTCAGTTCCCAAATCTCACCTCATAATTCTGCTGTGTTCTTCCCAAACCCCACTGTCCCTCTCCTAAACCCCCCAGAACCATCCCAAGCCCCCCAGCCCTGTTCCCAAACCCCCACTGCCCATTCCAATGCCCCATTCCCAAACCTCCCTGCCCATTCCCAAGCCCCCCTGCCCCCTCCCAAGCCCCCCGGGGCCCCGCCGTGCCCACCTTGTCCCCGGCCAGCACGCGGAAGCTGTTGATGACCTGCTCGGCCGTGTCCGTGTCCGTGGTTTCCCGGGACATGAAGTCGATGAAGGCCTGGAAGGTGACGCTGCCGCTGCCGTTGGGATCCACCACGGCCATGATCCGCTGGAACTCCGCGTCGCCCTGCGGGGAGAGGCACGCTGGGCACTCTGCTGCCTCCCCGGGCCTTCCAGAACCTTCCGGGGCTTTCCCGCTGGGATTGCCCTGCTCCCCTCCTCCCCTTGCTCCCCCCGCGGCCATGGGATGAGAGAAGGAGGAAATCAAAGGCGCAGAGGCAGGAGAAGAGGGAGGTTACCAGGCCGGATCCCGCGGGGCCCAGCAGGGCGCGGAAGTCCTTGGAGTCCGTGCGGCGCTTCGGCTGCTGGGAGGAAGAGGAGGAACAGAGAGGGAAAGGGAGGAGGAAGAGGGAAAGGGAGAGGGAAAGGAAGAGAAAAGCAGAGAATCTGTTAGAGGAGAAAACCGGCCCAGAAAAGGATGGAGGGAGAGTGAGGAAGGAGAAGGAGGAGGGAAGTGAGGAAGGATGGGAGAGAGGAAGGAGAGGGAAAAAGTGAGGAAAAGGAAGGAAGGGAGGAAATGAGGAAGGAAGGAGAGGAAGGAGAGGAAGGAAGGAGAGGAAGGAAGGAAGGAAGGAAGGAAGGAAGGAAGGAAGGAAGGAAGGAAGGAAGGAAGGAAGGAAGGAAGGAAGGAGAGGAAAGAGAGGAAGGAAGGAGAGGAAAGAGAGGAAAGAGAGGAAAGAGAGGAAGGAAGGGAAGAGGAGGAGGAGGAGGAGGAGGAAGCAGGCAGTACCTGCCGGTCGTTCTCGACGTCGTAGCCCAGACTGATCAAGCAGGCCTTGAACTCCTCCGGGCCCAGGGCCCCGCCGTGGTCCTGGGGAAATGGAGGAAAACGAGGGAAATGAGGGAAACCAGGAGGCAGCTCCCCCGTTCCAGGGGGGAACCACCCGTGGGGCTGCTGCGGGTGGATCCCGGATCCCCCCGGACCCCCCCGGATCCCCGCGGATCCCCCGGGGTCCCGACCTTGTCGAAGTGGTTGAAGGAGGCGCGGAACTCCTGCATCTGCTCCTGGCTGATGCCCTTGGCGTCGCGCGTCAGGATCTGGTTCTCCACCTCGTTGATGGTCCGGGCGATGGTGGTCAGCAGCTGCTCCCAGCCCACGCGCAGGTGCTGGATCCCAGGGGAACGGGGCAGTGAGGGGCACGCGGAGCCCCCGATCCCCCAGGCTGGGATCCAGCGCCCACGGGATCGTCCTGATCCCCTGGGATGGATCCAGCGCCCACGGGATCGTCCTGATCCCCACGGGATGGATCCAGCGCCCACGGGATCGTCCCGATCCCCTGGGATGGATCCAGTGCCCACGGGATCGTCCTGATCCCCCGGGCTGGATCCAGCGCCCACGGGATCGTCCTGATCATTATGGGATGGATCCAGCGCCCACGGGATCATCCCGATCCCCACGGGATGGATCCAGTGCCCACGGGATCGTCCTGATCCCCACGGGATGGATCCAGTGCCCACGGGATCGTCCTGATCCCCTGGGGTGGGTCCAGTGCCCACGGGATCATCCTGATCATTATGGGATGGATCCAGCACCCACGGGATCGTCCTGATCCCCTGGATGACCCCAGTTCTGTGGGATCCCAGCTCCACGTGCAGCTGGATTCTCAGCTGTGGAGGATCAGGGCCTGCTGCCCCCCTGGGACCCCCAAATCCCTCTGGGACCTCCAAATCCCTGTGGGACCCCCAAATCCCTGTGGGACCTCCAAATTCCTGTGGGACCTCCAAATCCCTTTGGGACCCCCAAATCCCTGTGGGACCTCCAAATTCCTGTGGGACCCCTCCCTCCCTCCCCAGTCCCAGCCCCTCGGTGACCCCAAATCCCCTCAGGATCACCCCAAATCCCCTCGGGACGACCCCGAATCCCCTCGGTGACCCCAAATCCCCTCGGGATGACCCTGAGTCCCCTCAAGATGACCCCAAATTCCCTCAGTGACTCCAAATCCCCTCAGGATGACCCTGAATCTCCTTGGGATCACCCCGAATCTCCTCAGGATGACTCCAAATCCCCTCGGGACGACCCCAAATCCCCTCGGGACGACCCCGAATCCCCTCGGTGACCCCAAATCCCCTCGGGATCATCCCAAGCCCCAGGGGTGCCCACCTCCATGGTGTAGTTGGAGTGCTGGTTGTCGAAGATGAGCGCCTCCTGCACCAGCTGGTGCTGCTGCTCCAGCAGCTCCAGGTTGGGTTTGTACTCCACGATGTTCTGCTCGTACTCCTTCAGGTGGTTCAGCTGGTCCTCCAGGGTCCCGTTCATCTCGATGGAGATCCGGCCGATCTCCTGCGAGCACGGGGGGTTCCCTTCCAGAGCGGCCCCGAGCCCATCCCAACGGCCCCAGCACCCCCCGGTGATCCCAGAGCCCCAAGGCAGGGATCTCCAGGATTCCACCAACCCAGCCCTTCCCGTGGCTTGGCAAGGTGGGATAACGAGGGCACGGAGCAGCCCCAGAGGGGATTCCACCATCCCACCATCCCACCTTGCACCATCCAACCCTCTCCATCCTGATCCCCACCATCTCCACCATCCCCACCATCCCACCTTGCACCATCCAACCCCCTCCATCCCGATCTCCACTATTTCTACAATCTCCACCATCTTCACCATCCTGCCATCTCCACCTCTCCATCTTGATCTCCACCATCTCACCATCCCTTCATCTCCATCCTGATCTCCACCATTTCCACAATCTCCACCATCTCACCATCTCCACCACCCCCATCCTGATCTCCACCATTTCTACAATCTCCACCATCTCACCATCCCACCATCTCAATGTCCATCTCCACCATCTCACCATCTCCATCCCACCCTCTCGACCATCTCACCATCCCCATCTCCACCATCCCCACCTCCATCTCCACCACCTCCACCATCTCACCCTCTCCACCATCTCCACTATCCCCATCTCTGCCACCCCACCACCTCCATCTCCACCCATCCCACCATCTCCATCATTTCCATCTCCACCACCTCCATCTCCACCATCTCCACCTCCACCATCCCACCATCTCCATCCCACCACGCCCCCCCGGCAGCAGGCCCGTTCCCAGTGCTCCCAGTGCTCCCAGAAGTCCCTCCCAGTGCTCCCAGTTCAGTGCCCCCAGGGCTCCCAGTGCCCCCAGTGCTCCCAGTCCCTCCCAGTGCTCCCAGTTCAGTGCTCCCAGTGCCCCCAGTTCAGTGCTCCCAGTTGGGGCTCCCAGTGCTGCCAGTGCTCCCAGTTGGGGCTCCCAGTGCTCCCAGTTGGGGCTCCCAGCTGGGGCTGGCTGACCTCCATCTTGGTCTGGATCCAGGGCCCCACGCGGTTGGCCTGGCTGCCAAACTGGCGCCGCAGGCGCTCGTTGGAGTTCTGCCGGCTCTGCTCCTCCTGCAGCGCCTGGTCCCGCTTGGGCACCAGCTGCTGCACCTGCAGAGGGGGAAAATGGGAGAGGGTGGGAAACGTGAGTGGGGAAAAATGGGAAAAACAGGAAAAAAATGGGAAAAAACGGGGAAAATGGGAAAAAATGGGAAAAAAATGGGAAAAAAAATGGGAAAAAACGGGAAAATGGCTCTGCTCCTCCTGCAGCGCCTGGTCCTGCTTGGGCACCAGCTGCTGCACCTGCAGAGGGGGAAACATGAGGAGGGAAATGGGAAAAATGGGAAAAAAATGGGAAAATGGCTGGGAAAAATGGGAGAGGGTGGGAAATGTGAGTGGGAAAATGGGAAAAATGGGAAAAAAATGGGAAAAAAATGGAAAAAGGGGGTGGGAAGTGTGAGTGGGAAACTGGGAAAAATGGGAAAGGGTGGGAAACATGAACGGGAAAAATGGGAAAGGGTGGGAAACATGGCTGGGAAACTACAAAAAAATGGGAAAAGGGGTGAGAAACCCTGCTGGGAAACTGGGTAAAACTGGGAAAGGGGGTGGGAAACCCTGCTGGGAAACTGGGAAAAAACGGGAAAAGGGATCAGAAACCCTGCTGGGAAAGGGGAAAAAATGCAGAAAAAAGGGGAAAACTGCAGGAAAAAGGGGACAAAACAGTGAGAAAGGTGAGAAAAAGGAGTGAGAAAAAGGGGGAAAAAGGGGTGAGGAAGGGGGGAAAAGGGGGGAAAAGGAGTGGAAATGGTGGGGAAAAGGGGGAAAAAGGAGAGGGAAAAAGGGGGAAAAAGGGTGGGGAAGGTGGGAAAAATGAGTGGGAATGGTGGGAAAAAGGAGTGGGGAAGGGGGAAAAAGGGTGGGGAAGGGGGGAAAAAGGAGTGGGAAAGGTGGGGAAGGTGGGAAAAAGGGGGCTAAAAGGGTGGGGAAGGTGGGAAAAAGGAGTGGGAAAGGTGGGGAAGGTGGGAAAAAGGGGGCTAAAAGGGTGGGGAAGGTGGGAAAAAGGAGTGGGAAAGGTGGGGAAGGTGGGAAAAAGGAGTGGGAAAGGTGGGGAAGGTGGGAAAAAGGAGTGGGAAAGGTGGGGAAGGTGGGAAAAAGGAGTGGGAAAGGTGGGAAAGGTGCGAAAAAGGGGCTAAAAGGGGAGGAAGGCTCCCTGACCCGCTCCCACTTGGCGTCGATGAGCTGCGGCGTGACCGACGTGTAGGGGTTGCCGGGCGGCAGCTGCAGCGCGTGCAGCCCCGCCTCTCAGAATTATTTCGCACAATTATTCCACAGAATAACTCCACAGAATTATTTCTCAGAATTATTTCGCACAATTATTCCACAGAATAACTCCACAGAATTATTCCACAGAATAACTCCACAGAGTTATTTCTCAGAATTATTCCACAGAATAACTCCAAAGAATTCCACAGAATTATTCCACATAATGATTCCAGAGAACTCCACAGAATTATTCCTCAGAATTATCCCACAGAATTCTTCCACAGAAGTATTTCTCAGAATTATCCCACAGAATAACTCCACAGAATAACTCCACACAATTGTTCCACAGAATTCCACAGAACCCCACAGAATTATTCCACAGAATTCCACAGAATTATCCCACAGAATAACTCCACACAATTATTCCACAGAATCACTCCTCAGAATTCCGGGGCTGCAGCTGGCAGCCGCTCGATCCCCAAATCTCCATCCCCTGCCACAAAATCGGGGGTCCCAGCTCGGGGTGGATCCCCGCCCTCCCCTCTCCCCAGGGCTGACCTCGAGCGCCTGGCGGCGGCCGTGGGTCAGCGAGCCCAGCAGGTCCCACTGGTCACAGATCTTCTGGCAGCGCGCGTTGACGCTCGGCGAGTCGTAGTAATCCAGCTCGCTGGGAAAAACGGGGAAAACGGGAAAATGGGGTGATTTGGGGTCCAATTTGGCGCATTTTTGGGAGTGTTTGGGGTTCCCATACTTGAGCTCCTGGGCAATGGCTGGGATCTGCTTTTGGGGACACTTTGGGGGTGATTTTGGGGTCTGATTTGGGGTGTTTGGGGTTCCCATATTTGAGCTCCAGGGTGATGTTGGGGGTTTGCTTTTGGGGACACTTTGGGGGTGATTTTGGGGTCTCATTTGGGGTTTTTTTGGGCTGCCATACTTGAGCTCCTGGGCGATGGCGGCGATCTGCTCCACGCGGTCCTGGTGCGCCGCCAGGTCCGACTCGAAGGCCTCGTGCTTGCGGAGCAGCGCCCGCACCTGGGCCAGCGAGGTGCCCGAGTCCCGCTCCCGCAGGGCCACCTCCTTACCTGGGCACAGGTGGGGACAGCCCTGAGACCCCAATTCCACCATGTGCCATCCCCTGAGACCCCAAAGGTCGAAGCCCGGGGGGGGGTCCCGGGTGGGGGTGGATCCCGGGTGGGGGTCCCAGCTCGGGGTGGATCCCGGGTGGGGGTCCCAGCTCGGGGTGGATCCCGGGTTGGGGTCCCAGCTCGGGGTGGATCCCGGCTGGGGGTCCCAGCTCGGGGTGGATCCCCGCCCTCCCCTCTCCCCAGGGCTGACCTCGAGCGCCTGGCGGCGGCCGTGGGTCAGCGAGCCCAGCAGGTCCCACTGGTCACAGATCTTCTGGCAGCGCGCGTTGACGCTCGGCGAGTCGTAGTAATCCAGCTCGCTGGGAAAAACGGGGAAAACGGGAAAATGGGGTGATTTGGGGTCCAATTTGGCGCATTTTTGGGAGTGTTTGGGGTTCCCATACTTGAGCTCCTGGGCAATGGCTGGGATCTGCTTTTGGGGACACTTTGGGGGTGATTTTGGGGTCTGATTTGGGGTGTTTGGGGTTCCCATATTTGAGCTCCAGGGTGATGTTGGGGGTTTGCTTTTGGGGACACTTTGGGGGTGATTTTGGGGTCCCATTTGGGGTGTTTTGGGCTCCCATACTTGAGCTCCTGGGCGATGGCTGCGATCTGCTTTTGGGGTTTGCTTTTCTTTTGCTTTTTTTGGGATGGCTGGGGATACTTTGGGGGTGATTTTGGGGTCTCATTTGGGGTTTTTTTGGGCTGCCATACTTGAGCTCCTGGGCGATGGCTGGGGTTTGCTTTTGGGGGTGATTTTGGGGTCTGATTTGGGGTGTTTGGGGGATTTTTGGGCTGCCATACTTGAGCTCCTGGGCGATGGCGGCGATCTGCTTTTGGGGACACTTTGGGGGTTATTTTGGGGTCTGATTTGGGGTTTTTGGGTTCCCATACTTGAGCTCCTGGGCGATGGCGGCGATCTGCTCCACGCGGTCCTGGTGCGCCGCCAGGTCCGACTCGAAGGCCTCGTGCTTGCGGAGCAGCGCCCGCACCTGGGCCAGCGAGGTGCCCGAGTCCCGCTCCCGCAGGGCCACCTCCTTACCTGGGCACAGGTGGGGACAGCCCTGAGACCCCAATTCCACCATGTGCCATCCCCTGAGACCCCAAACCCCTCCCTGTGCCATCCCCTGTGCCACCTCCTTACCTGGGCAAGGTGTGGGGACAGCCCTGAGACCTCTGAACCCACCCTGTGCCATCCCCTGAGACCCCAAATCCCCCCCTGTGCCACCTCCTTACCTGGGCACAGGCGTGGGGACACCCCTGAGACCCCAATTCCCCCCTGTGCCATCCCCTGGGCCACCTCCTTACCTGGGCACAGGTGGGGACACCCCTGAGACCCCAATTCCCTCCCTGTGCCATCCCTTGAGACCCCAAACCCCTCCCTGTGCCATCTTCTGAGACCCCAATTCCCTCCCTGTGCCACCTCCTTACCTGGGCACAGGGTGGGGGCAGCCCTGAGACCCCAAACCCCCAGTTCCATTCCCTGCTCCCCAAATCCAACCCCTGAACCCCCAAATCCTGGTGTCTGAACCCCCAAATCCATTCTCTGCCCCCCAGATCCATTCCCTGCCCCCCCAAATCCTTTCTCTGCCCCGCCAAATCCATTCCCTGCTCCCCAGATCCAATCCTTGAACCCTCAAATCCCGGTTTCTGAACCCCCAAATCCATTCTCTGCCCCCCAAATCCACCCCCTGCCCCCCCAAACCCACCCCTGCCCCGGTACCTTCCGTCCAGCCCTCGTGGATCGAGGCTTTCTGCCGGAATTTCTCGGCCAGGTGATCCAGGCGCTCCAGGCGCCGCAGCTCCGTCAGCAGCCACTCCTCGTGGCCCTTCTCGGCCTGCTCCAGGCGCTGCCAGCCCGCCCCGATGTCCTGGGCACCCCAAAAACTCCTCAGAGTGACCCCAAAAACCCCCAGAGTCACCCCAAAACCCTCAGAGCCACCCCAAAAACCCCCAGAGTGACCCCAAAAACCCCCAGAGCCACCCCACCTTCGGGTCACCCCAAAACCCCCTGGCACAGGTGACCCCACTCCTCGTGGCCCTTCTCTGCCTGCTCCAGGCGCTGCCAGC